ACAGCCCAAGTGAGGCATTTGGTGGTAGCCCCAGCATTCTAGGCACCATTCTCGGAGGAAAGGGAAGATACCGACAAGATAAAATTTAACAAAAATTAATGGACTTGTTTAGAGTAGCTTTAGGTTAAAAAAAAATTGCATTAGGAACTGCAGAGACTTCCCTCATGCTTTCCTTCTGCCCTGCGTTCTCCTTAATTAGTGTGGTTATTTGTTTTAATTGATGAACCAGTGTGGATATGTTCATCTTCCCCAAGGTCAGTAGTTTACACTAAGATTCCTTCTGCGATGTGCATTCTTAGGGGTTTTGGTGTATGCATGGTGTGTTGCACAGCCACCAGTTCACTATTGTAACAAAGGCCTTCAAACCCGAGAAATCCTCTGCATCTGTCCCGCCTCCTCATCCCGTTTCTCCCACTCCCAGCCTCTGGCAGCCCCTGATCTTTCTGTTGTGTCTCCCTTTCTTCTTCTTGTGGAGAGTGCCAGTATAACACATTTTGTTTCTCCATTCACCTGTTCAAGAGAATCTTCCAGCTAGGGGAAATTATGAATAAAGCTGGTATAAACATTTGTGTCCACACATTTTCCCACTCATGAGAGTGAACACTGTCTTCCCTCAGCATCTACAAGGAATTAGTTCCAGGACCTCCCGTGGGCATCACTCCCACCGGTGTCCCTTCTGTAAAATGGCGCATGTGGCCTACGCAGATGCTTCTATATACCTTAAATCATCTCTAGATCACTTACAGTACTAACCCAGTGCACATTAAACACGTGCTATGCAGTACCATGTAATGATAAAGAAAAAAGTTCAGCACAGATGAAATTTTTCCCCATGAATATTTTCGAGCTGAGCTTGGTTGAATTTGAGGATGCAGAACCCACAGATACAGAAGGCTGACTGTACCCGGGTGCAAGTGGCTTTTGAGAATTAAACTTGAAGCTAGATCTGGTGACCTAGGCCTGTAATGCTAGCACTTGGGAGGCTAAGGCAGGATTGCCATGAGTTGGAGTCCAGCCTGAGCTACACAGTGAGAGTGTCTCAAATATTCCAAACCCAAACAAAATTAGACTTTAGAGACCTTTTCCCTAAAGAGTGAGAAGGAAAGCAGTCCTCCCCTTTCTTTCAGATTATTTTAAAAGACAAAGGAGGAAATAAAGCCAGAAGAGACTGAATGGCTCTTTCATTTGACAGTGTGAAATATACTGATCACATGGACAGAGACTAACGTAGTGGAACTTACCGTTAACCAGCAACAGAACCTTAAAACGGTCAGATTGTTACCATTGAAATCTTTCAGAGACCTGGACAAAAAGCTAATATATAGGCAAACACCCTCAGTTAGCTAAGCCTGTTCTATCCATTTTTCCTAAGTGTTGGGGGTTGCTTGCTTTGGGATGCAAAGGGTGGGAAGATGGTAGCTTTGAACTTATTTTTCTTAATAATTATATTTTTATACTCCCTCCCTTAGCTTTATGACATTTCCCTGATTTCAAAAGTGGATTATTTTTTTCTGTTGCATTTTCTCTTCTTTTAAGTCTTTCATTTATATCATTTTCCTAATCATTTGTTCTCTAGGCTTTTGTGGCTCCAGAATCACACTGTTTAGTTTTATTATTCTTGGCAATTGCTTTATTTTACCATGCCTCTTTAATCTGTTTTTCTCAATAATATTTGTTCTGAACCAAAATTCTCTGTAACAACTTAGTGTGATTTCCATTCTTCCCAGGCAGGGAGGCTTAATTTCACTTGAAACAAACCGTGGCCTTATGTTAGATTTAAATAGTGCTACTGCTATATAATCAGTTTTTATAGACTCACAGTTTGGGCTGTAGCTGGCAGTGTTTTTTGTGTGTATGTGCATGTGTTTTGAAATTATGCCATATGTTTGAATAGAAGTCAGGCTTATATGATGTCTTAATTATCTTCAGAAAAGAAGAACGCCTTAAGGAGTCCTCACAAATCTTTCATGTTATGGAGGCACAATTTAGTTGCTTTATTTTCAACAACAAAATAAGCGTTGGAGAAAACACATTTCACATTGTATTGGTCAGCTTTTTGTTCTGACAGTGGTTTCAGTCAGTGGTTGGTTGGGACCAAGGCAAAAATATGCTGAAAGGATATGGTGGAGGGAAGGGGCTCAACGCATGGTGTCAGAGAAGCAGATAGCAGGAGAAGAGCCCCGAGAAGGGGCTGGGGCCCCATACAGTCCCCAAAGTTGCACCTCCATGCCTCACTTCCTCCAACAAGGCCCTTCCTCCTGTGCCCTGTTCCGCTGTGGACTCATTAATGGTTAATCCATAGATAAGGTTGGTGACTTCACAACCTAGTCACCTCCCCGGGAGTCTCTCGATCCAGTGAAGGTGACAGTCAAGATTAACCAGCACCCATTAGCCTTGATCTGACTCACCAGTCACTGTTGGCACTCTGCAAGTCACCCGAGATGTCTAGAATCTGGCGGAAAGGGAACCAGAGCCACTTAACGGGGCTTTAATCACAACTTCTGCCCTCACAGTTGCAACAGTTTGAGAGAATGAAAATAATTCCCCGAGGGTTAATTTTCAGAGATTTTAAATGGGTGCTTATGGTTTGGAATAAGGTTTCTAGCAAGTGTATCACATATAGATTCAAAAAGTGCTCCTCACAGGCATCATAGCCCAGTGGACCACCTGCGCCTCACTGGAAACGTTGTATAATAACTCAGAGAATCATCTTGGTTCTGCCTTCGTGCATTTGAATAAAATTTGTCATGAAATGTGAAGGCATGGAAACATTTCTAAAATGAGTTAGGCCAACATTTTTGTCTATGGTCTTACATAGGATGATGACGCAGCTTCACAGATAAGGCGACAGTCACTCGATAATTGTTTCATTTCTAAATATTATATATCTGTGTCTTCCAAAACCTCTTCTTCTTTCTTCCGGGGATCGAACTCGGGTCCTTCCACTTGCAAGGCAGGCGGTGGAACCACTGAGCTAAATCCCCAGCTCCAAAAGACATCTTCTTTGTTTGTTTTGGTGCCGGGGATCAAGCACAGGTCCTTGTGCTTGTGAGGCAGGTGATGGAGCCACTGAGCCAAACCCCTGACCCCCAAACTCTCTTTTCTAAGGGGCAAAGTCTTCCCATTGGAAAAAGAGGTGGGGGCCGCCTTCTCTTTGGGCCCACTTCATATCGGACAGACATGATGCCTTTTAAAGGCAGACATAGTTTTGAAGTGCACTGTGTATTGTTTCATTTGAACTGATTGTGAGATCGTTAGGTGGGGAATAACCATATCCCTTTCCTAGCTGCACGTTTTGGTACAGATCTTATTTTGCACCCCAGGGTCTAGCCCAAAGGCTACCAACAGCGCCCCCTGGATACTTTGTAGAGCTTACTGTGTGATTTAATTTTTCTACCTGCCTGTAAATCTCAGCGTTCCCATGAGAACAGCCTCCCTGTCTTCTCCTGCCTCCAGTGGTTCCTTTCCAGTCCACCGTGAACCGTCGTCCTTTCCCAGCTGCATGAAGTCCTCGGCCTTTTTCCTCTCATTCTCTCTCTGAGTAATCTTGTGTCTTCTCAAAGCCTCAGCTTCTACCTATAGTAAGGTTGAAAGCTGGCACTTGGCAGGCCTCGTCTTGCCTGGAAGGTTGGCCCGCATAGCGTTGTTATTGTTTTAAGTGAGTTTGCTGCCAGCATTTAAAAATTGAGACCAAATCCAGATTTCTGGCTTCTGTTGTGAAACAGGATGGGCTGGCAGTTCTGAGACCAAGCTTTGAAGCAACTGTCCCCATTAAGTGGGACACTGCTGTCCTATTTACCGCAGATAGTCCTGGCAACAGTACTTTCCTGTTGTTTCTAGACACTGATAGGGTATATCAGTGCCATTTTTTGTTTTTATCACAATTACGCTATTAAGTTCTCTACAATGGAGACAAGAAGAAAAAGAGCATATATATTGCCCATCTCTATTCAAATGTAGGAAAAGAAAAGCTGGACCAAGAAAGGAGTGTTTCTAAACAATGGGAGGGATTAAAAAAATATATATATATATAAATAAAACAAGAAAAATATTCTTACATAATTAATATTCAGGGTGTGTCTAAGGTGACAGGCTGTAATTCGGGATGTGGGAGGGTTTTTAATTGTGGACCTAGATGACTTTGATGCCCAAAAGTACTGCGTATGTGGGGTGTGGGGTGTGGTCATGAGCAAAACAGATGTGTTCCCTCCCCTCAAGGAACTTATGGTTGACTAACAGACAGCACAGCCGCCTCACACTCAGTGTGACTCTGGCTGCTTTGCTCCCCCCTGTTGCCTGCTGTCACTTCAGTGTGAGTGTTGCCACCCATCCTCTGATTAACAGTCTTCATTTTACCTATAAACTCGGCTTCCTTTGACCGTGTCAGGTTAACATGCACTTGAACATAACACCAAGGATTGTGGCTCTGACCTCTCTGGAATCTGTTGTTATGCCCACGATAATACCCACTGGCTCAAGAAATTAAATATGTCATCGCCTGGCCTTTTGTCACTGCGCTTGGCCTCCAACATGGAGGCCATGGAACTGACAAATGCACTTCCGGTTTTTTGGAATTGCTCCCCCAGATCTACTCCTGGCTCTGGCTGATGTCACTCACAGTATCACAAACCCTTGGCCACCCTTTTGTCCCTTTCCTGCTCAGACAGCCCCCTTCTCCAGTGGTGTGTTCCGCTGTCTTCTAACCCTCTGCCCTGTCACTTGCAGTGCAAGCCTGGGTCCCACGGCTGGGAACTTCTCGTGATTTCTGCTGCACTCGTTGCTCTTTGTCTGTGCAAGCCTTTGCTAGCTTTTATAGTTGATGGCAATTAGTTTCATCGTGTCTTATAAATATTTACTTAATGACTGAGTGAGTTTTAGTAAAAAGCTTTATGGGGTGGGGGAAAGTGGCTCTAAAACAGTTCATTTCCTTTTAGAAGCAAAGTGCCCGGCTGTTATGTCACATGCTTATCTGAAATGTTGTGTGGTTTTGTTTATTTCAGAGACTTGAAGATAGAAAATTTGCTCCTAGATGAAGACAATAATATCAAGCTGATTGGTATGACCTTTTTTTTTTTTTTTAAGCAAGATTATCATCTTTTAAGTGTTGTGTTGTCAGTTCTCGACCTTGAAAACTATTCCTGGTCTACATCATATCAAACTTCTAGGTTACCTTCTTTTGTGTCTAATATTCAATGATAGTTTTGAAAATGAAAGCTAATTTTAGCAGTGATTTAATAGCTTACTCAAATAATAATTCAAACATGATTAGAAAGATGAAAATACTGTAACTTGGTTAGGAAATTAATTTGATAGCTCCAGATAAGCATTTGTTGGTAACATGTTCCTTTGGTTTAAACTTCAGTTTCTCCTTAAGTTCAAATGGAGATGATTTTTAGTTAGATTAACAAGATCATTGCTTAAAAACAGTGGAAAATAATTTGGCCCAGAAATGCTGCCTATCGCTTCTGGTTATGTTTTATTCTACTCTTCAGGGAATTTATGGATGTCCAAAACAAGGAAGAATAAAACTTGCCTTCTCTTTTTAATACAGTCTTCATTCCGGTCCTATGGTATAATGGTGATGTCTGTAGAGGGTTCACTAAATGTGTACCGATTAGGGGTTTCCAGGGTAGTGTTATTCATCATTGGTTCATAATTCAGAGCCCTTAAGTGAATTCACTTCATGGCTTATTCTCTGAAAGAGTTCAGATGGTTTTGTTCATTTTATTTTGGTTATATAGTTGCTCTTGGTCATTGTTTTTATGTCCCAATATTAAACAGCACTTTCATTCTTTTCCTTCATTTTCTCACACCAACTGTGAGAAATTTCTTCTATATCAATGGCTTGGAAAGAAGTTGTTTTAGCAGAAAAAGAGATGAACCAGTAGGACTTTGGGAGTTTAACTCTTGTACCCAAGAAGGAGCTTTTGCTAAGCAACTATTACAAATCATCTCAAGACTCTGCAAAAAAAAAAAAAAAAAACCAAAACCTTCAAATGACTTACTAGATCCCTTGAAATCACAGCTGGCACCCAACACAGGCCGGGCATGAATGGTGTAGGATGTCCAGGCCCTGTGCTAGAGGACCAAGCAGCCTTGCTACATGGTGATGGATACACCCAGCATTAGAAGATTAGCATTTAAGAGGAAACTAATCCCCCCCCCCCAAATCATTTTAAAGAATCTATTCTTAGATCATTCAAAGGACTTTAACTGTTGCACTTTAGTTGCCTGCAGGTTCACTGCCTGATCTTGGGCCTGAAACAAAGGAATCTCCTGATGGGGGGAAAGGAATGGAGTTGGTTTATTTTTTAAGATTTCCTGGCAGTGTGGAACTGTAATTTGTCTTTGAATAATGTTCAGGTGACTGTGATAGAGTCATCCTAACAGCACAGATTATAAGAAAAGGCCAGTTTTATATTACATTAAAAGTTAGAGTAATTCACTTCCACTGGGTGTCATGTAGACAAAGCTAGTAAGTCAAGTAGAGAGCAGTGCACACCAGGGTAGCAGTTTCCAAATTTCCAGAAAGCGCTTTTCATACTCTTCGCTTTTGCCTCACTTTTCTCCCTTGGTGTTTGCTGTCTCTTCTTTCTCCTTGAGTAACAGCCCCGTATGACTATTTATTAAACTATTCTGTAGAGTAACGTTGAAAAGCACAGACTTTTTATTGATTAGAAGTTCGCTCAGAACATTCTGGAAGAACCAGTCACTATAAACAGCAAGTGCATTTGTAAGTAGATCATAGATTGGTTGAATAATAAAACCTTTCAGAGGAGACATTGTACAAGTAATATGAAGAAATTATATACCTAAGTATATAGAGCCTGTACTTCTCCTCGTGGTGAGTTTGATGGTTGCTTTGTGGTGACCAGGAACTGTTCTCTCAGCTGGCAACCTCTAGACTGGCACATAAATAGTTAGTCCCCAGTCATCAGGACTATAAAAGATGAAATTAAAATATATATAATTTTGCAAATCTTACTTGGTTTTGAGATCTTAGAAACGTACAGCATTTTTGAACAAAAATGGTTCAGATGCCTTGCCTACCACAGAGGTAGTCTGTCTGTATATCTAGAGAAAAAGAAGTGACATGCAGAAAACAGCAGTGAGCTACAGTGAGTGGAATTGGTTCCAGCTCAAGACCATCTTATGTGAAGAAGGTTTGAGTAGTTGACTTCTTCTGATTGGCTGAGACTCAGATCTTTGTTATAATAGTAGGTTCCACTCTGTTATATTTCATGATAGGTTGCAATTCACCATGTATGGTGGATTGTTTAGGCCAAGCTTACAATATGTACAGAGGTAGCTTTAGGCTAAACTTAATTCAATTTAACAGAACAAAATAGGCCCAGTCTATTGCCAAATGACCAGATGTTAGGAGCCAGGATTCTCAAAATTGCTAGAGCAGTGCCTATTTTTCTTATGACCAGCTAAAGCTAAGGATCCCTAACTTACACCTATAAATAAAAGAGATGTTAGGCCACCTCAGGAAACAACTGGGAATTGCATTTTGTTGAGCACAATCTGTATTTCCTTGATTTCTAGGGAAGGAGACAAAGTGTCTTATGTGTTTTCTTGCGCTGAGTTGAGCAATGTGGATCAAAGGTCTACCTTCCCAGCCTTGTTTAACTTGAAAGGCCTTTGAACCTCTTTTTTTCTTCAAAGGAATTACCTAGTTGTTTTTCAGAGGTGATTATAGCTATTATCATTTCTTCTTAATAGTTTTCTTTGAAAGAATTTGGTATAAATAATTCTACTTAAGCTGTATTTCAAATTCACTAGAATTACCAGGAGTAAGGTTCGATTTCATCAGGATGTTTTTCTGTCTTCAAAAAAAGCAGTCTGATGTTTGGTAAGTTTAGTATAATCTTAAAAAGGAAGAGCCACAGCTTAGAACAATTTTGTACATGTTCCAAAGCAGCATGCACTTGGGTGTTCTTTTGAGATTCATTTTGCAGCTCTCAGAAAAGCTCAGTGATAATTAGCTTATGTATTTACCAAATCTAATTGAGGCAGACCTATGTGACATTACTGGGAGGCAAACTTCTCTCTAGCTTCACGATTCTAATTATAGGCATATGTGTAAAATTTTAATAATCACAATTACAAATGTGAAACATGCTGGTTATTTCTTCGCAGTGTATTTTAAATCAAATCCTTTTGGCTACGTCAGCACAAGTCATTTTAAAATGCAGCTTCCATTCCTTCCTCTTCCCAAATCCACTGTTAATTTATCTTCTTGCAACTGGGCTTAAGATAAGGCCGGACTCTGCTCTCGAACTTGCCAGGGACAGTGGAGAGAGATCTGGTCTCTTATCTCTTCTCTCCCTGTCTCTTCTTGAGAGAGCCCAGAGCAGGGGAGCTGAAGAAGGGAAAATGAATGAGGTGGCCTTTTGCCGTTCTGGAATCTTGCTGACATGAGGAATAGAGTGTTTGGCTTTTATCTTAGAAATGTAGAGATACATTTTCTAGGGCTCCTGTGAGACCAGGCCTTTCACGTGGCAGTTCATGAAGGTTTCCTTTAAAAATTTCACTCCTAGTAATACTATACGATCATCTTTGTTCGATGATGCCATCCTTCCGGTTTTCCATAGTAGGTGCTCTTTGCAATGAAACCATCTTCAAATGTTAAACACGATGGGATAGTTTTTCCTTATAAAAATAAAAATGCCTTTCTCTTTGGCTTAAACGGTCCTGCATTTAAGACACTGGAGATTGAAGACAGCGTCCCTCAGGTCCTTTATAACAAGTAACTCCTCCTATGGTGGGGGCCCAAAGGACTTGTCTGCGAGGTGCACGGAGTCTGCTGCAAAAGGAAAGGCGGTGGGCAGAGACTGAGGGTAGGGAAGGAGAGAGGAATGGAGTACGGGAAGACAGGAGGAGGCAGGGTAAGAGGGAGAAGAAAACTGTCAAGACACACAAAGGTTAAGTGTTCAAACGTACAGCTTTCCCGGTTGGTTGGTTTGCCAGTCTTTACTGTATGTTCTCTCTATCCAGAGTCTGAGCTGAAGAGTTTGGGTGGTTTTCAGTGTTTAAAGAGATTTTAGACCTCTCCTTGGATAGGGTTCTCTTTAGAAAATCTGTTTCATGGCATATCCTAATCCAGGGACCGCTGTGTCATTTTGAGCCATCAGGTGTGGATTACTCTGGGGACTCCCAGCTCTCCCCATACTGAGCTTTCCTGTAGCTCTGCAGGTAGAGACAGACCTACGTCAGTGTGAAGCGAGAAAGTAATGAAACTAGACATAAATAGCACCCGTTGAGAAAGTTACCAGAGTTCTGTTTCGGACTTGGGGCTGATCTCTAACCAAGCCCTGTAGCCTGGGGACGCTTCTTCCTGGGGGGCAGTGGTAGAATCATAATATTTACACGGAAGTTCAAAGGACGATCCGTGATTAACAAAGATGGAGGAAAGATACCAGCAGGGCACAACACGAACAGCTCTCTTAATTGCCTGGCAGTGCAGTGTCTTTAAGATCAAAAGTAAACACAAGAGAAAAGGCGTAATAGATCCAGGGTAGCTGTAGATCATCAGGCTTTTCTTCCCGGGGCCTTCAGCTTTTAGGAACAAAGTGACACCATGAGGTCACTGAGTCCGGCTGGCGTCGCCAGACACCTGGCATTGTTTCTCCAGCCAACTTGCAGGGTTGCCTAAGTTGTTGAGTATATTTTCCCCTCTTCAAGTTTCCATATGTGCTGCATACATTTGGGAGAGATTTTAAAAAAAGGTTTTAATGAAATGTAAACATTCAGCCAAAGAAGTCTGCTGTAAATGGCTGGACCGCGTGTCGCAGAGTGACCCCCAGCCACTGGCCAGAGAAAGGGCAGGCTTTCTTCAGTTTTCCCCCGCTGGGAGGCCAGACTGTTGCCTCCAAGCCTGTCTGCTCCTTCTCTCTTCCTTCCTTAGTCCTCGAAAGCACAGCCGGTCCTTTCCCTGGGCGACCCATTGACAAGGCTTGATGGAAATACGTTGTTAGCTCTAGCTGGATTTTACAGTGAGGACTGACGTAAAATGTTCCAGTTAGGCAAGGGAACCACCACCTGACATTCTTTTGTCTTGAGACTCATATCCAGAGGTTATGGTTTGCAGCTGCTGGATTTCCTTCTGGATGCTAAATTATGTGTTAGCCTGAGAGAATGTTTCCTTTCCTGCTGCTCCCCCACCCTCTTTCCTGTCCCTCTTCATTTCTGCGGCTTTCTAATTTGGAGTCCACTTGTCCTCTCCTCTTCGCAGACTTTGGCTTGAGCAACTGTGCAGGGATCCTGGGTTATTCGGACACCTTCAGCACTCAGTGTGGCAGCCCCGCCTACGCCGCGCCTGAACTGCTCGCCAGGAAGAAATACGGCCCCAAAATTGACGTCTGGTCCATGTGAGTTTTTGAGCTTCTAAAAGTCAGTGTTGCCTCCTGCTGTCTCCACTGCTCCTTCCTTATGAAGTGACTCTTCTGTGTTTGATGAGCGTGTGTTTAGGGTGGGCTCTGGAACAGATCATCATTCGTGACTCGCCGGAGCCTGGCTTTCCTTTTCTCTTCTTCGCAGCTGTCGCAGTCTTTTCCGTGGAAACTGTCAGAATGGCTTTCACCTAAATTCTCTCAGGTACTGGGAAGAGAAGAAAGCCAAGTCCTGCCCTCACACAGACCTCACATTCTGGTTATAGGGCCCACTCGGATCCCTGCTTAAGATCTTGCCGTGGGCTCCTGTACCATCCGTGTGGAACTCACCTTGCCTCGGTCCATGTCCTGCCTCTCTGCACCTTGCCTCTGTCTTCTGCCCATGATTCTTAAGGCGCGTTGGCCTCCTTTTCACCTTTCCCACCTCTAGGCTGTGCCCCTGTTATTTCCTTTGCCTGGGATGCCGTTCCCTGCTCTTCCTATGGCCCACCCAATCCCACACGTCCGCTAAAATGTCACTCAAAGGCTCTGTGTCCCCTTCCAGAGGATCCCATGTTCTGTCCTTGCCTTTTCACTTCCCCCTTGGCACCTGTCACATGCCGCCATTGTCCTGTTTGTAAATCTCTTCATTCTCTCTCTTCTCAATGAGAAAGACCCGTTTTGGAAAAGTTGGGAGATTTGTTTGTGTTAAACGGAAAGCACAATTTGTGCATAAAGAAATGGGCCACGGGAGCCTGAGATATCAAGAGATCCTCCCAGGGGGTATTACATGATCATGGTGACCTAGAAGGCAAGAGATGTTGATGGCCAAAGGGCAAGAGAAGTTGGCAGGTTGGGGAGCAGGTGACAGTGTGCTCCTGAGGGCCTGCTCTTACGGGGATGGAAAACGCTGTGTTGCCCCCAGTTGTCACAGTGAAGAGGCTCAGCCTGGGGACCCTTTCCGGACATGTCAGGTGAAGCAGGTGTCTCCTCCAAACCTAGAATTCGAGTAGGAGGAAGAAGTGGTGGGTTGTTGGAGCTGCACGGGGACAGCTAGGCTATGTCTCCTGAAAAGTCAGTGTCACAGCGTTCATTATGCCCGGCATGGGGTTTCTGTCCCCCACTGCTCACTGAGACATGGAAGCGAATCCGCGATCTGGCGAAGGGCGATGAGAAGCACAAGTGGTGACAAGGCTGGGTTTTGCTCTTGCTCCTTCTGCCGAGTCACTTGACCTGGGACAAGAATTCATATTCTGTGTTTCTCAGTTTCAGGCCCCACGATTAAAGTCAAGTCTGCTGGGCCTCAGTGGGGGCTCTTCCCAGTCCACTTGGCCCGTCACCACCTGCTTTGTCTCTGTCCACTGAGCAGAAGCAGAGACTACACCGAGGAAGAAGGGCAGGTGGCAGCAGAAAGGAGGGACGGAGCGGGTGCCAGACCAGGGTGCCCGGGCACTTCAGAGGCTGTGGTCTCACCTGCCGCATCCTGGCTCTGGCATGGCTGGGCTCCACCTGAAGCAGCAGGACGTCTCTGTGTTAACCTCCACTTAATTGCACCCCCCCAAAGGTGATTTACAGCTGCAGGTGCTCTGCAAAGCTCCAGTGAGGCTGTGTTCTTTGTCCTGGTGAAAGAAAGTAATGGATGCAAAAGCTTTTGACAAACAGCAAAATGCTGTGTGGACACAGGTCCTTCAGATTGTGGTGGCTCAGCTCTGGAGCTCATTGGGAAGGAGACATAGAAGAAAAGAATGCGTAGAAATTCATTCCCGTGGCGGTGGAAAAGTCCTTTATCACACAAGACTTTTCCAGGTACATCTGTGTCACACTTGCTGATCTCTCCTTGGGCAAAGCCAGTTGGATGGCCGAGCTTTGAGGCAGGAGGAAAGACCTCACTCTTTATGGGGTCATGGCCAGGAAATTTAAAAATTTTTTGTACCGTAGCATACTCAACTACTACTACGGACTGAGTTGTGTTCCCACGCTGTAACTCATATGTTGTAGCCCTAATCCTCAGTGTGGTGACATTTGCAGATGGGGCCTTTAGGTGGTAATTAGATTTAGATGAGGTCACGAGGGTGGTGCCCCATGATAGGATTAATGTCACACTTGTACTCACTCTGTGCCGTGTGAGGGCAAGGCAAGAAGGTGGCCCTCTGTATAATGTGCAGAGAGTGCTTACCGGAACACAGCTGTGTTAGCCCCTTTAATTTTGGACTTCCATCCCCCAGAACTGTAAGAAAATAAATGTCTGTTGTGTGAACTGTCCAGTCTTTGGCACTTTGTTATGCTAACCTTACTAATCAGCGTTTCGTCACTACAAGGAAATACCCCAGGTGGTGACTTGAATGACCTACTGTGATGGGTTGTCACCATCGCTTTGGACTTACAGTGGTGCAGCCCATCATGGTGGGACCGTGTAGGAGAGCAAAGCTACTCACATCCCAAGCCAAAGAGGAAAGTGACAAAAAGGAAGAGGCTGGGGTCCCACAGTCCCCTTCAAGGTCATTGTCCCGATGACCTATAGACCTCCGCTAGGTCCCACCTCCTAACAGCTGTACCACCTCTCCAAAGTGCCCCCCTCTGGCCGCCAGGCCTCTAGCATGTGAACCTTTGGGGGTCACATACCAAACCATAGCACAGCCCAAGCAAGGTGTCTACTCACCTTCAAGCTTGTCTGTGAGCAAATCCAGTGAGTTGGGTGGAGTTAAAGAGGTAAAAACAGCTGCACAGGGAGTTTAAGAAGGCAGTAGAGGAAATTTAATCTGTTCCTGAGGGGTGGGTAGAACTGGCCAAATAGAGAAGAGGTGGGAAGCTTTCCAGGCAGAGAGCACAGAGTGTGCAAAGGCCTGGGAGAGTGGGATATCTGATTATCATTGTTCTTAATCTTGACAGAAACGTAAGACTTTATAGCTTCTTAAAGAAATTATTTTCCACTGCTTTGGGGTATTGTGTCTGAGATACAGGTTATGTTTCTCTTTGGTGCCTGTGGCATTGCTGGCAGAACTGGAAATGGAAAACCCAAAGAGAATTTAATTTAAAAAGCTGCTTAAGACGGGAGTGAAAATGGAACCAATTTTCTCCCTGGGTTAGACACACTTATTATAAAATGTCTTTTTTTTTTTTTTTTTTTTTTTTTTTTACATTTTTATTTTCAATAAAATGTTTTTTTTTTTTTTTTTTTTTTTATTTCTCTGCAACAACCCCAGAATAAAAAGTTCACTTCTAAAAATCAGAGGCATATTCCCCTCTCCAGAAATCTGACAGGGACTTGCTCCGAGACTTCTGAGACCGACTTAAGAAGAAAACCAGCCTGTCATACCAGGAGGCCTTAGAAGCTCTTCTCTACACATAGGATCCCTGGGCTGCTCCCCCCAGGAGGCAGGAATTATCAGCACAAGTGGAAATGTCAGCTCTTTAGGGGAGTTTCCATTATTTTCAAGACTATAACAAATTTGTAAAACCATTCATTTCTTTCCTTTGCCTCAGATGCCTGAAATAGATGTATATATGGCTCCGGTGAACTTTGAGATTTCAGATACAAAACCAAAATGCCCGTCCGTGTGCATTAAACTTTTATTAGTGCCAATCCACTTTTCCCCAGAATGGCATGTATGCTAATTTGAAAAAACTTTAACACAGATATACCTTTGAATTGAAAAGAATCAAAATTAATTGGCCGGGCGTGATGGCACATGCCTGTAATCCCAGCACTCGGGAGGCTGAGGCAGGAGGATCGCTGTGAGGTCGAGACCAGCCTGGGCTACATAGTGAGTTCCAGGTCAGTCTCAACTACATGAAGAGACCCTGTCTCAAAAAAACCAAAAAAATTTTTTTTTAATTTTTCCAGAATATTACAGTGCTCATTGGGGAATTTCAGTGAATCTCCAAGTATAAGAAGAATGGGAGTTACAAGCTCTGTCTCCAAAGGATGGATAGAGAATGTAATACTTTTTTCCCATCAGAGTTGTTCTTTGCTCTCGCGGGAGTTGTGTGAAGATTGGGTGTCCAGTGGAGAGTCATACACAGCACATCCAGGCCACCTTCTAGGTCATTGCATCTGTGTTCACTTAATAAGAAAAATACCTCTGTCAGTCTACAGTGTCTTTGGGTAGACAGGTTGGCTGAGAGACCCCATCTTGTTTCCAGTTCTGTCATCTTCAGATAGCACTAGGTGTTTAGGAGAAGTGGAAGAATTTGTTCTATTCCTCAGACTCAGTGTTTTGTAAAAATGCTCCCCAGATACCATGAGCTACTGTGAGGGATCAGACATAGAAGAATGTCTCTTCATTCACCGACCCCTCAATCTGAAGACTGGCAGGGGAAGTGGAAAGAGGAGACGAATATTCCTTTTGGAAGGTTCAGGGCTTTGGCTTTAAAAAAAAAAAAAAAAGCTTCCTTTAGCTTCTGATATTTTTAAGTCATAAAATCTAAGAGTTTTTTTTTTTCTTTTTTTGTAGCCAGCATGTGCATTGCAAATAGAAGAGGGGAGGAGGGAAAGAAAAGGAATAAGCATTTTAAAGGCCACAAGAAAATAATTCCTTGCTACACACAGACCATTCAGTGGAGCAGGTTTGAAGATTGAGATGTTATAAATGGGTGCATCTGTTCCTATTCTACCTTGAAGACTTTAAATTACAAGTTGTATTACTGAAAGTTGACACTGAAAGATGGAAGGATATTGCTTTCAGGTGGAGAGTTATTTTGATTTTTGTTTTTTTCCTAAGGCAGCTCTTTTCTCAAAGAATCATGCAGAGGAAAGGTGTGACTTCAGAGGACGTCTCCGCTGCTCGTAGGCATAAGCTAGGGCTTTCTGAGGCTCCCACCCCGTGCCCCATGAGGACAGGGAATCTGCTCTTCCTCCTGCGGGTGGGCTGCTGTCACTTGCTTTGTCTGTTGAACCATGCTAGTTTCTGGTGACCTTTCTAGGGAAAAGTGACTTTCTTCTTTTTTCTAGGGAAAAGAAACATTCTTGACAACCTCCCGGCTTTTCTTCCAGGGAATAT